GCTACACCCGCATGTGTTGCCTTCGACTTACAAATGTAAAACATAGCAAATACTGTTTCCACCACATAAAAACGAAAATTTTGGCTATGAAATATTGTTTTTATTTTTTCAATATCGGAGCTACAAAACAAATTATTTAAATTTTAAAAGCATAAAATAATGGATTTTGAAACAATAGATCTTTTTACTTATAAGTTATAAGTAAAAAAAAAACAAACCGTAATATTTCACAGACATGTTCTCAACTATATTTTATATCAATTTGGAGTCTTAGCTATCAGTTATCACTATAKCCTGAGTGGTTTTATCCCGCACAATATGGTTTTTGTTATATTGTACTTTTATTAGACAAAAACAACACATGTGGGTGTTGTGACCTCTTAAATAATTTGTAAAAATTGTATTGAGTGCCTTTATATATTTTCATTTATTAGATATTGGGTACATTCTTTTGGAAGGTTTACACAATACCTTAACAAGATTAACCTTATGTAAACCAGTTATTAAAAGCAAAAATATTATGAAATTGATATTCATATAATAAGTTTGATAGGCAAATTCAGTCTACTGAAGCCATTCTGTTGGTGAGATTTAATTAAAATATTTGATTATACTAAATTTGATGCATATTGTTTTAGATTTATATGTTTTTTCCTCAATATAATATTATTTTTAAATGTTTATCATTTTTATTTTGTTTCATTTAATTATACAATGTGTATTTAGATATTATTAGTTAATAGTTTCAATAAATGAAATGTCTAAAACCAAATATATTTGTGAGAAGCACTTCACAGAATTAATTTGTGTACTATATAGCTATAAGATTAAGTATCTTTTTAAYTTTYGTATCTATAGTAAATGTTATTGCATTTATTAGTATAGATTTGTACCCAGATTTGTATTATCTTAAGAGGACGCTACACACATATTTGTTRTCTYTGTCTTACAAGTGCGTAATATAGTAAATTTACCTATTATGAAACTTGATGTTAAGAACATTTTCTTTGTTTGTAGTGTTTGTACATTGGTTTTWCACRATAGTTCAATTTTATAGCAAGTTATGCRTACATAAAAAAGTGTRTATTAATAATGCTCATAACTCACTTAAAAACTTAGTWATTGTAAAAAATCAACATACAGATACAGATGATGTTTTTAACATCAAGTTTCATAATAGGTCAATTTACTCTAATTTTTAAACTAACGGAGTAAATGGATCTGCTAATCGTAAATTTGTTATGTTACGGACTTGTAAGATGGAGATAACAAATATGTGTGTAGCGTTCTTTTAACTGTCTGTATGTTTATGTTTGAAGTAATATTGTATTCTTATTTTCAATGTATTTTGGATTATTATATAGTCAGGGCTGGTATTAGGGGTTGGGCGATCAGGGTGACTGTCCAAGGCGCGGATATATCATGGACACCTTCAGAGTTCAGATATTAGTTTTTAATTCAATTACTTAATCTGAACTAGAGGATGCATTAATTTTCCTTGCCCAGGGCGCATAGTTCCCTAAGACCAGCCCTGTATTTAGTTARTTAGTACTTATGTAGTTTCACTYTCACATGAATGTTTTTTTTAGCATATTAATTATTTTGGTTGCWTAGAATTTTATAAATKTATAATTTAAATATTTTGAATGGATATTTTTAAAGCAGTGACATTACCAAATAAATATTTACTCTTTATTAAATTCTAAGAATTTTTGTGAACGTAACATTTTTGAAGTTGATCGTTTGTTAGAATTKCTGATATAATTTCTTAAGAGGAAATTTTACCTGCATATACCTTCTCTACCTTACTAACACATTACAATCCCAAAATTTACATCTAGCAGTTCCAATTATGTGTTGTTAGCTTAAATTTTAGAGTATTAGATTCTGGATGAAGTGAGGAATGTATTGATTTTACAATGATGTATGTTTTTTTTTGTGTCTCATCACGTTTTGGAATAGAATATAGAAATAATGCTTTGATTTTTTACTTCAGCCATTCTTTGAAAAGGAATTCATCTATTTGGTACTTGGAGGAGGGGGGTCAGAAGTAAAAAATTAGTTTTCAAAAGYGTCAAGGAAACCCCTAAAAAAGTAACGAAAAAATATAATTTTTACGCATTATCAGTTTTTGACAAAATCAATTTTTTTTGTTTTGCTGTAACTCAAAAAGGAATCATCCAAAAAATCTTTGAAATTTAATYAAAAAATTATTATAAGTTGTACTTATTGTAGTAAAAAATCATTAATCATAATTTTTGTTTATAAGCATTTAAAGTTCAAATGTTTACGAAATATGTCAAAATCACRAAAATTTGCATGTAATTATGAAGTTGAAAATTCATAAAATTTTTGTGATATATACGAAGGTTAAAACCCCCCAACATAAGGGTCTCCATAACTTTTTCTTCAAATAACTGTAAAAAAAACTTCAGAGTCAATATAGAAAAAATGTTGTAATCGTATAAAATACAGTGTCCCACAGAGATCTGACAAATGAAATAACTCTTGTTTTAATCAATATTTAAAAAAAATTTCTTTTAAATATAATTCATAGACACTTGCGCTACATTTTTAGAATACATT